CTCTGCAAAAAGATAGAAAAATTAGCTGGGCATGGTGGGTCACGCCTATAGTCCCAGCTACTTGGGAGGCCCAGACCAGAGCATGGCTTCAGCCCAGGCATTCAAGGCTGTAGTAAGCTATGACCACACCACTGAACTCTATCCTGGGCAACAGAGTGAGACCTTGTCTCAAAAAGAAGAAGTGGAGGAAGAGGAAGAGGAAGAAAAAGAGGAGGAAGAAGGAAGAGAATAAGAAGAAAAATAAGCTATAGAGAATGCAATAAGCACTATGGGGGGGTACAGCAAAGGTAGGGGACTCAGGGGTGTGGTGGGGAAGAGTGCTGTGCAGTGCATAATGAGGTCAGGGTAGGCCTGCTGAGGTGGTGACATGTAAGCAAAAACTTGAAAGAGGTAAAAGAGTTAGCCAAGTGGATTTCAGGAGAAATCCAGGCAGAAGAAAGATTCAGAGCAAGGGCCCTAAGGTAGGACTATGCCTGGCATGTTCAAGAAAAGTGGGGAAATAGTCAATGAAGGGGAAAGAGGAGTAACCAATACAAGTCTCTAAAGATTAGGAAACAATGATACCCGGAGAACATAAGTCAGGGAGAGTAACCTCTTTCTCAGACTGGAAAGAGGGGAAGAAAAGGGACAGAGAAGGTTATAAGTAGAAAAGGGGAAGCTTAGGGAGTTCATGTCTTTTTTTTCCTATGAGGTGGTAGGCGAGGTTTTTCTGCCAAGTGTAGGCAGTGGGAGGCTTACATCAAGTAGTCGAGACATTAGAACAGCAACTGCAGAGAACAGGGAAGGGAACTAAGCAGAACTGCTTCAACAGACACCAAAGACAGACTCGGGAGACTTCAGACTACACATTAATTGTAGCACTAATCCCTAGCACAGGGTGAGGTTTCTCCATGACACAGAAGAAAAATGGAGGTTATGGATGGGATGACTCAAGGCGGGCATCCGCATAGTGGGTCCTACAGAATGATAAGGAAGAATAAAAACTGCAAGCAATGCACTCCAGAGGTCACAATGTACAAAAGGAAGGAAAAGAAGTAAAATCTGGAAGAGGATGATGGACTAGGAGACTTGAGGTGGGAAAACACATGGAAAGAGACTATGAAAGTGAAAGCTGTAAATTATTAGAGTTTAAGATTTGAAGATGAATTTGAGCTCTGGAAGTGATGACAAGTTAGAAGATATGGCCGTAATACTGAGCTACTGGAACAGAATGAAGCCAATGTTTGCTTGAGCTAAATTAAAGTCAAGGAATTTTAAGGTTAAGGACAGTTACAAAGGAAGTTCAGCATAGTGGTTACTTTCTAGTTCTAATGACATTGGGGAAGTCACTTAGCCTCTGTCTCAGTTTCACCTGTAAAATGGGAATAATAGTGTCTATTTTATATGATTGTTATAAGGATTAAACTAGTTAATAAATATAAATTGCTTGGAAAAGAGCCAGACACATAGAAAGTGCTCTATATGAGTAAGCTATTTTATCATTATTGTTGTTGCTATTATTGTTTATCTGCAGTCATTCACATATGCCAAGATGATGTCAAAAACTCAGATGGGGGCCGGTCGCGGTGGCTCACGCCTGTAATCCTAGCACTTTGGGAGGCCGAGGCAGGTGGATTGTTTGAGCTCAGGAGTTCGAAACCAGCCTGAGCAAGAACGAGACCCCGTCTCTACTAAAAATAGAAAGAAATTAATCGTACAACTAAAAATACATAGAAAAAATTAGTCAGGCATGGTGGCGCATGCCTGTAGTCCCAGCTACTCGGGAGGCTGAGGCAGAAGGATCGCTTGAGCCCAGGAGTTTGAGGTTGCTGTGAGCTAGGCTGACGCCACGGCACTCACTCTAGCCTGGGCAACAGAGTGAGACTCTGTCTCAAAAAAAAAAAAAAAACTTAGATGGAAGAACTAAGCCAAGAATCAAAGTCATCAAGGGCAATGGTAGAGGATGGTACAATTAAATAATATGCTTTGGTGTAAACAATGTGGTATTAAATACAAAAAAAAAAATTTAATCCATCATATATTTACAATCTTGTGACTTAAAACATAAACAACCATAAGACAACCGTAAAAGTATCAACTGAGTATTAGATAATAACTATAGTATTATGTATATAACATTACAAAGAGTTTTGAAAAAGATTCTGAAAATCCTGGAAACAACCATGGCATGGGCAGCATTACACAAAATTGTACTAAAACACAAAGGAGCTAGAGTTAACTTTATCTTACCATATGTATATAAAAATGGTAAAGTGTAAGTTCCTTGAGGGTAAAGAACTAAATCTCTAAATGTACTGTCAATTAACTGGTAATGACTGTAGTAAAAATGAGCATAAATGAATCACTAGGCCATTAACCAAAAAGTTCAACTGGGAGAGGAGTCCAAGATATCTTTTGCAGGTTTTTCCTATCACGGTCGCATCTGTTTAATTTCTCTTCTTTGTGATAAGCTGCACACAAAAAAAGTTCTAGAAATAAGCATATTTATTCACACTCTTTTATGGAATCCAGAAATTCACCAATATCTGTTCAAACAAGGCCATTTTGCAAAGAGAACTACATGAAGTGGACATGATATATCTTTAACTTCTGAGCCTCGTGAATTATATGTCAGTTTACAAGATCAGAGGGATATGTTTCCTCCTGGAAAAGACCTGTTATGACTGGCAGCCTGGGAAGGGGGTTACAAACAGGAAGGCAGGGAGCCGCTGTTGTCCTTGACTTTGCATCTGGACAAGACCACAGTAGGAAAATGGACTAGAAACTCTGGCTTTAAGAGAGACTCAGCTGGCAGACTCTTCTTGGACATTTATTCCCTGCACAAACTCAAAATGGGAAAGAGGAAAGAGAAAAAAGGAAAACTGCATTCATATTTAGTCTTGAAAAGGAAAAACAGTCTGTTCTAAGCTTTAGAAGCCATACTTAATTGGATAAATTTTGGGAAAACATTCATCAGAACAGAGCTGCACAGACTCATAAAATCTTGCCTCTGTATCAGATTCACAATCAGGTCTGATTTTACCAAATGCTGAAATTATATTTAACCACAATTTTTCAGATCTTTAATAAAGTAACTCTAAAAATTAAAAACTTAGAAATATTTCTTATTTGGAAAACGGACTTTTAAAACAGACATTCTGTATTTCTCTCATATTAATATAATGAAAAAAATACTAGTTTCTGTTGAAGCTATGTTTCATTCAACAAGTTTTAAAAGGAAAGCCTGATGATAAAAATAACAAAAATTAAAGTGTGTTAAAGCTTTCCTTAGAAAAGCCAATCTCAAATTTTTTAAGTAGTTCAACTTAAGTTATAATTTATTCATTAAGAAATGGAGTTTGAATGAAAGCAAAGGGCACAAAGAAGAAGGCAGGTATGCCATGTCCCCAGGTCCTGTCCATGTCTAGGATGTAGCAAAAGACAGATTTACAGGCTCATGCTGAACCCAGTTATTGATCATTTCCAGATCTGCTTTACAACATCAACATATGTGCAATTTTCACATTCCATCCTCAAATGGTACATTAACAACTCCACTTGGTTCTTGATCCAACAACCATACCAACTTAAATAGAAGGCACCACCTCACTTCTTAGAGGAACACACAAGCTAAGATTTTGTTATGACTAAGCTAATTAGACAAAATACCAACCTTCAAATAAAATATCCACCAAGATATCACTTCTTATGACTTATTCAAATCCAATCACCACACTTTCATCGGGCTCAGACAGACACATCATGACACAAAGCAGCATGTTCAGTGCTGGCAGAACAGCTGCCTAGAGCAGTGAGAGATATGAGCAAGGGATCTGTTGACAAGCTAATTTCAGCTACCTCAAGATTCCACAAAGATGACAACCTGCATCCTCAGAAATACTGCTGCAAGCCTCCCCCACTATCAGGATATTCTGGCTTATTCTCTACATGTCGAGCTGCTCGGAAAATCTATCCATCCAATATAATACACTAACTCGAGGCCTCCAGGCTGCTAGAGCGGCCTTAATAATCCTCAAATCTGCCTATGCACAAGGCATCAACAGGCCTTCCATAGCCACGCCACCGGACAGAGAAGATGAATACAAAAACACGACATTTCACCCCAACAAGAATAGAATCTTGAAGGCAGTTTACCTTGGAAGCTCATTTAACAATTCACCAAGGAGAAAAAGTGATTTGGGAGCTCAATTCTGGTTTTAGAGCCGGGAATGTTTTGTGTTGCATGAACAATGACTAGCTTGCTCCAGCAGCCTCCCAACCCCCACAACTTGGCTTCTGGTTTGACCAGTCACCCTGAAAGCTGCCAGGGCTGTCACTCGGTGCCTTCCAGCAACTGGACTTGGCTCCTAAAGGATTTGTCAGATCATCTTCCCAATATGGCTGCCAGAGTAATCCCGGTCTGCTGAACGCCAAGACCACAGCAGCCTTCCTCACCACCGGCCGGCATCCAACAAGGCCCCTCCCTTCCCATCGCGCCCCTCTTTCCAGTCCGCGCGCCCTCGGCTCCCCCAGTGCCATGCGATGACCTTTCGTACCTTCATCTGGCAAAAGGGCACAACCACATTCCCAGCCGAAGCTTGATGCCAACTATCATGGGGGAGAGGGGAGAGGGGAGAGGGGAAATAAGGATGGCTTCAATCGGAGCAGTGCCGTCTCCCCAGAGCTGCAACGTGCGCAGAGAGCCGAGGGAACGGCCGGCCAGCGGCAGGTCGGCTGACCGCGGGGCAGAGCCAGAGCCTGGCGGCTTCGGGGAAACGGACAGCCGGTGCGGGGCACTGCGGGGGACCCAGCAGGCCGCTGGACGCGAGCCCGGGACTCGCTGCCGGCAGGGGGAGGGGCCCCTTCCCCCGAGGGGAGGCTCCCCCAACCCGGTGCCCCCAGCGCCCAACCCGGCGCGGCGCTTCCTCCCCTCGGACCCCGGCCCGCCCCTCCCACCCGGAGCGGCCCCCTCCCCGGCCTGGCGGCCGCGGCACCAACCACCATCCGCCCTGCCGCCTTACCTCAGCCGCGCTGCGGACCGACCGGCGTGCGGGCCGGGTCAGCAGGCCCCGCGGCGCGCGGGGGCGCGGGGGACCGGGCACCAACGCACCTCAACGCGAGCAGCGGCCGCCGCGAGCCGCAGGGCGCCGCTCCGCAGCCCCATCACGCAGCGGCCCTGCTCCGCATCAAGCCGGCGGCGGGCGGAAGGCGGGAGCGCGGGAGGCCGGGGCAAGGCGACGAGCCGGCGGAGGCGGCTGCCGCGGACCGGGAGCGGCTCACATATGCGCCAGCGCCTAGCAGGATCTCTGCCGTCTGACTGCCCGGCGTTGGTCCCAGCGAAACTCCGCCCGCAGCCCCCGGCGCGGGACACCGCCCCGAGTGGGGCCGCGGCGCGTCACCTCGGCCCGCCCAGGAGCCCGCGACTGACGCAGGCTGCGGCCAATCGAAACGCAGAGCTCGGGGCGGCCAACCAATCGCAGGGGGAGCCGAGGAACAGGGCTGCTACGAGGCCCTGCGGAGACACCCGAGCGCCGCCTGGTGGCCTGGGAGCCGGCGCGGGTGTGGGGGTGCGAGGTGGCGGAAACCTGCACCGAGGGTTACCTCCCGAGTGACACCCGAAGGGCGTTGGTCGACCTGAGCCGCGCCTACCCACCCTCATAACCCTCCTTGTAAGGGGACGAAAGGTTGACTAAGTTAGGCGGGGCGGGCCCGAAGGGGTTCGGACGCCCGCGGAGGAGCCGAGAGGACGTGGGAGGCGGGCGAGTTGCAGTCATTGTCCGTCTACAAAACAGCTCTCGCGTTGGACCGGCCCGACACGGCGCGGTCGGAACTGAGACACGCAAAGGGATCAGTGTATCCCGCAGAAAGCTTCCTGGCCTATTCCTGTCGAACCCGAGCACAACACCTCCCACACGCCACCTTGGGAGAAAAGGCGGAATGAGTAATAGGAAAGCATGACTTAGTGGGCATTCGACTTGTCTCCTTGGGAGATCGCGTAAGGGCTGTGAGTAAAGGAACGAAATGCTTTGTGTGGCCCCTATTCATGAGCCGCGCGCCCCTCTGGGGAGATGCCCTTGAAGGAGGGTTACTGCAATTCAGAAACCAGAGAGCACAAAAGCTTTAGGAGCGATTTAAAAAACCAGATTTAGATTCGGCTCTAGAAAAATCCCATAACTGTTTATGAGCAGTTCAATTCACTACTTAATAAAATATAATATTCAGTGATAATATGTGCAGTTGTCAGGCCCACGCCGAGCACTATTACTTTATAAGGTTGTGAAATGCTTTTGGATGTACTAGCAGAAATTGAATGTAAAATCAGTTTTTTTCCTTGATTTCAATACAGTGTGAGAGGCGTTATTTTCAAGCATACGCACTGAAACATCGAAATTAATCTTCTGCACTAATGATTCCGGAAAATCTCCACCACCCCTAAAGTCTCCAGATTCTCCATCCAGTCAACATTTATTGAACATTTCTCCTTTTGTTTAGAATTTAAACTCCACCTACCGGCAAAAGGATTTGTCACATAGCTTATACTGAAGCATACAAGCAATAAAACTGTACAGCATTAAAATAGCCGTAAAATTCGTAATAATAATAATAAAGTAATAAAAGGCTATGAAAAAAAGCTGTTTGAATAAGGGAAGTGTGTACAAAAGAGAGTAATATTTAAAAACCAGAAGCTCGGGCCGGGCGCGGTGGCTCACGCCTGTAATCCTAGCTCTTTGGGAGGCCGAGGCGGGTGGATTGTTTGAGCTCAGGAGTTCAAAACCAGCCTGAGCAAGAGCAAGACCCTCGTCTCTACTAAAAATGGAAAGAAATTAATCGGACAACTAAAAATACATAGAAAAAATTAGCCGGGCATGGTGGCGCATGCCTGTAGTCCCAGCTACTCGGGAAGCTGAGGCAGAAGGATCGCTTGAGCCCAGGAGTGTGAGGTTGCTGTGAGCTAGGATGACGCCACGGCACTCACTCTAGCCAGGGCAACAGAGTGAGACTCTGTCTCAAGAAAAAAAAAAAAAAACCAGAAGCTGGGCGCAGTGGCTCACACCTGTAATCCTAGCACTTTGAGAGGCTGAGGCAGGAGGATCACTTGAGGCCAATAGTTCAAGACCAGCCTGGGCAGCACAGCAAGACCCTGTCTCTATAAAAAATATAATTAGCCGGATGTGGTGGCGTGCACCTGTAGGCCCAGCTACTCGGGAGGCTGAGGTGGGAGAATCACTGGAGTCCAGGAGTTGAAGGCTGCAGTGAGCTATGATTGCACCGCTGCTCTCCAGCCTCAGTGACATGGCAAGACACTGTCTCAAAAAAAAAAAAAAAAAAAACAGAATCAAGGAAATATGCTAATACTGAGCAGATAACTTAGCTCTTAGCTTCCTGGAGGCCAAGATAAAATTGAAGCTACAATGGGTTAATAAACAGAAGCTCATCAATTCAACAGTACACACCACTTTACCCGAGCTTGGAGCTCTTTGCATAAGTACTATGATAAGCACCATGGAGAGTTAAAAAAAACTGGATTGTAGTTAGTATTGCTTGAGCTCTCAATGGAGCACAATCTAAAAAGAATCTAAAACGTAGTGAAGAGAGCATGGTGGTAATCAGAACTAGAATAATTAAGCAAAAGCAGAGAGGGGTCAATAAAGACAGATAAGGCTGCTCTAGGTTCCAAGTTCAAAATAGCCTGCTCTACATAAGCCTTCTGCCACTCTGACAGATGAAGTCATTCTGCACAGCCATTCCGTTTCTCAGATTACAAATTTTATACAAAAGCACCTCTTTAAAATTGTAAATAAATTACTAGAAAATTGAATTTAGCCATGGCCTGGTAGGGTTATCCCTGGAATGCGAGGACACAACAACATCCAAAGATCTCTGCGTGTGACACAAACAGCCATACTACTACAATTAATAAGGTTTCTGGATACAAAATCAATATACAAAAATTCAAAGTGTTCCTTTTCATTAGGAAGAGATGGAAAATTTGATTTTAAAAAGATCCCATTAAAAATAGCAATAAAAACTATTAAATATTTAAGGATAAGACCTAAGTAAATGGAGAGGGATTCTTTATTTGGGGAAGGAAGAAAATGTAATAAAGATGTCAATTCTAACCAAGTTACTCTATAAACTTAATGTAATTCTAAACAAAATTTCAACAGGATTTTTTATGGAATTTGACAAGATGATGGTAAAATTTACATGATAAATCTATTCCATGTCATTTTGTAAAAAATTGTATGATAGAACAAAGCCACCCACTGCAATGTGAAGAGTGAGGTATGGAGACTTGCCTACAAAGTTAACAAGATTCTCTGGAACATTGTACTGATTAGAACCCTGTTGTATTGACACAAGAATGTACAAATATAAATGGAACAGAATAGAGTCCAGAAACAGACCACACGGGCACGGGAATATAACATATGACTGCACTGGCATTAAAAATCAATGAGGGCCGGGCGCGGTGGCTCACGCCTGTAATCCTAGCACTCTGGGAGGCCGAGGCGGGCAGATCGTTTGAGCTCAGGAGTTCGAGAC